TGATTTATTTAATTAATTTAATAATTTGTTTAGAAAAAATAAAATAATTTAATTAATTCAATATAAAAAATAAAAAAATTATTTAGTTTCGGTTCTTGGTCTAGACCCGACCCAAACTCATCGGTTCTCGATTCGGATACCTGTTTGGGTATTTAATTTATGAAGAACCGCTCGATTCGCTTCGGTTCGGGTCGGGACTTTTGGACACCCTTATTTAAAAGTCATAAGTTTATGTTGATAACAAATTTAAACTCCTTTGTCCACCTTTGTCTCGCAAATCACAATTTTAAACACATAAATTCCACTTACCTTTTTCCATAGAAATAAACCTTTTTAAGTCTGAAAATTTTCAGAAGAAGAGGCTAGAGTGCACTGCATTTTATTTCAAATTGGACGTAAAAGGGTATTCAAACTCCAAACATTTAAAGTAGGGTGATTTTCGACACTTTTGTAAGTGATGTAAGAATTATTCGTTTTCAATTTGCATTTAATGTGTTATTGGGTCACTTATGATGGTAGCACCGTTTGATGGTTCAAATAAAATACGAAGCATCGTTTGGTGTCATGAATAGATCACCGTTTGGTAGTTTAAAAGAGATGATTTATGATAGGTTATTAAAGACCTAAGAGTGAGCGCACTGATTGATCACCGGTTCACCTTGCAAAATTGACGGTGACACGAGTAACCAAAGTTCGCATTTTTGAAAATATATATTTTTACCAATTACTTAAGTGTCTCCCTACCGAGTATTACTTGTGATACTCATCCCTACAAAATTTAGAGGTTAATTGAAGACATAGTGGTGGCATGGCTTGGTGGCGAGTGCTCAGGCGATTCGAAATGCTTTTAAGCCCTAGTAATATTTTCATTTGTGTAAACCTTGCATGAACCTTAGATGGCATATTTAAAAATGTTTATTTCATCTAGTTTTAATTTCATTGCACGTTGACTACAACATATGAATGTTGGATTGACTAAGTATCAACTTCCATTATTGCTGAAATAAATTTCCAGATCCTGTCCTCTTATTTGAGAATGGTATAACTTGGTCTACAGTACATGTTTTTGAGTGAAATCAGTTAGGTTTGAAAGATCTACGAGTCTTCTATCAGTAGCCTTTGGAATTTCCTCGAAATATTATCTAGAGCAAAAGTTATGCCCGTTTTAGTAAGCTG